CAGCATTTAAATAAAGATATCAAGATAAGCTGTGTTATACCATGGAGAGTGTGAAAGAACCAAAAGAAAAACAACATTGAATTCAGTCTGAAAACAGATGTCTGCTTTACTTAGTGCTTCATTCTACTTCCAAGGACCGGACCCAGGGCATGTTAGCTATTGTAGAGCCTGGTTTGGCAACAGCGCGGTTGGTAGTCATGGCAAATGGTAAGAATGTTTTTGTAGTGTTAGATTTTTGTCATTAAAACTAGGAGAAAATAACATTCAGTGTAAAAAAAAGCAAGATGGAGCATGCAAACTTCCTTTGAATGTGGTAAATCCTATGATTCTCTAGTGATCTATGGTCTTGCTTCTTTACACTATCCACTAGATTGGAAGACCTGCGAGTGAAATTAGAGAATGAAGGACTGGTCAACATCTCGTATATCATTGTCAATCATCAGGGGTCCTATTCCCAGAGGAAATTTCACCTACTGCAAGAAAGCGTTTCAGAATACATTACTGTCTACCAGCAAGATGAGCAGCAAGATGACGTTTGGACTAAATTAAATGGAAACAAAGATGACTTTCTCATCTATGACAGGTCTGTTTAGAGGGGAACACAGGGAAATATTTGCATGCATTTGTAGAGTAATGATTTGTAAATCTCTATATTATTTCACTGATGTGCAAATTAAACCACAAAAAAAGACAATAATCAATTTGTGAGTTGCAATAAGAAAAGTGCTTGCAGAAAGGAGGCGATAAGAGCAAATCTGTTTAAGTAAGCTTGGGATAAACAGTTTTTTCTTTATAATTAATGTGGATTTAGATTAACATAACTGAGTGTAGAGACTGACAGCATGATTCTGGACTTACACTGGTTTTTATTTTCAGGCAACTTCATTACATCCATGCATGTAAAAGCAGAATCAGATGAGGAGAGCTATCTGAGTTCTCGTGAAATCACTTTGACCAAAGTTTTTGAAAATGTCTTGTAGCCGTATGGAAAAATTAGTCTTTAGATGAAACTTAAGACTTCAGAAGAAAGTGTCTTTTTGATCATAGGAATCTGGGACATGTACCTTTTAGCAGAACCAGTAATAGCTCTTTAATTGAAATCCTGATTTTTCAGCCTTGTGTTGGAAATTATTTGAGAAGTCCTGCACTTCTAATACATCCATCCTAATTACTATTACATTACTGTAATGAACATTCTCTGTTCATACTGAAGCACAATTAAGTCTAATACAGAATTAGAAAGTTACTTAACTGCTTTTGGGTAATACGATGAAATGGAACAAATTAGCTTAATTCTGTGGGATGAAACTAGCACTGTGATGAACTTCAGAAAGTGAGTGTGTGTTACAGCAGCAAGTATGCCTAAGTATGGGAGGTTCTTGTTGTGTGACAAATAGAAGGCAGCTGTATGGAGTCTGTGGAGGGACTCCAAAGCTAATGTTTGGCACACAGCATTTGAAAGGTTGAACAGTTCTGTGCTGTTGACACATAGGGTACACCTGCACTATGAACTGGTATGGCCATGGTCCATTATGGTTCTAGAAGTATATGGTCTTATTGTGCCTTTACTGGAAATGCAGTTTTTGCCTGTTGCTGGTTCTAGTTCTGCACTGCACATGTGTAGGGAGAGAAGGTTTGAGGACTGTGTGTTGACACTGAAGGTGGGGTACTTCACCAGGTGCCCTTGAACTCAAGTTCTGCCTTTCACTGTACTAGTTTTGTAGCCAAGAGCGTATCAGAATGCTCAAGTACAGATCTGAGACAAATAGGCACCATGAGAGTTCCCTTAATGCACACTAAATCAGTAATGAAGATGATCCATAATGGACATTCCAATCAAAATACATGTTATGTTGCACAGAGCATTCTTTGTAAGGATGCGACAACATATGGCGATTTGTACCACCATTTAAACAGTCCTCCTCGTTAGCAAGACTGGTCTGTAATGTGTGCCTTTGCTAGTCTAAATGCTACTAAACTAGAGGCATCTGCCAGTAGAGTTACTACATCAGCCAGAAATCACGCTGCACGCTGCTGACCAATGCAGTTGAATGGGCAAATGTTTCTAAAGCAATACTCTTTCTGCCTGTAAATTCCTTGCGCAGAAATACTCACCATGGGGCTGTACAGTGTGTGTTGATTGATGTGAATAAAATAAAGTACGATGAAATATTTATGTTTATATATATGTAATCATAAAGTTCTTTCTCTCCTTAGATGCGGCCGTCTGGTGTATCATCTCGGTCTGCCTTACTCCTTCCTGTCTTTTGACTATGTAGAAGAATCTATTAAAATTGCATACTGTGAAAAGAAGTGTGGAAACTGCTCTTACACGGTATTCTCTCATTTCATTCTGTATATACTAGGAAAGGAAACTGGATTTGACTGGCAGTTAAAAAAAAAATAATTTCAGTGTGATTAATCAAAATAAGACCTGATTTAGAATTTACAAATTCATGTGTCTTGATGTAGAGCTTTTAAGCTTTCAAAATGAATTAGATTTAATTCCTAATACACTGATTATCTGAGTTCTTGACCTTGATAGAAATATGAATAATTTTCAGAAGTCTAAATGCAATCTTGGAGGATAATCTGTCTCTTACGTACAGATAATGGGCAATTAGTTGATCTGGTTTTGGGGGCCAGGTAGGTCCTTAAACATACGGAATCAAATCCAAGCTGATTTATTATTCTTTTTAGTTTACATTTAAACTAAAGTATGTAATAGTTACTATTCCTTTATATAACAGTTACTTTTAAAAAGTGATAATACAAGGTGGCAAATTTTAAAAGGTTACCGTTATAAGAGGATAGCATTGTTTTATATATAACTGAAGATCAGAACTGCTTTAATGATTATCAAGAAATGCTCATATGTAGTCATGAAACTTCAGTGATATGAACAGTTTTTGATCCCATCATGGAGTTTTCTCAGGCAGGCCAGATGTCGGACCTTAGAAAAAGGTTGCTTCTTATTAGCAACTACTTGAATTCAAATTCCTGTAAGTTTGCACTGAGAGCCCTGTCTTGTCATCAGTGGTGTTGTAAAACAAGGTTCTTTTTGATACATTCATATATTTTTTTCAGCAAAGTAGCACAAATAATGTAAAATTGGGCCTTCCCTTCCCTGCTTTGTATTTAATGCAAGCTTCTGTTTTGCAGGAAGCTGATACTGATGTTGTATGTGAAAACATCACAAAGAAAGCAGATGAAAAGCTAGCAGAGATAGAACCCAAACCAACTGGTCAGCATTTGCATCACCACAGCCTGCACAGAAACAGACACCACCACCATCATGAAGGCAGTCGTCACTCAAAAAATGAGAACCCTGAGGCTCCTTCTGAAATTCAAAGACGTCATCGCCATGGTGGTAGACGTCATAGAGTTTTTGGCCATAACAGACACAATCAGACAGGCAGTCAAGAGCAGGTAGACACTGCTCCTCCAGAAGAAAGTGTAGAAACTGCACAAGATAAAAAGCTATGAAAAAAGGGGAAAACCACCTGTAAAAACCAGTTAAGTTGAAATTGGCAGACAGCATCAGACTCAACTTCTAGTAGCTGATGCTGTCATTGTCGACACCTTTTGTTTGAAGAGCTAGGGAATTCTGTCACTTGACAGTGTCGTGGAGCACTTCCAAATTCCTGCAGGTGACATGGCCAGCTGTCAGCAGAAGACATCACTGAATCTTGACAGTGACGTCTGCTCGCTGCTGCCTGACAGTCGCCAGCAGCAGGAGCAAGTGAAACCAGTGACACCTGACAGTGAGAGGAAAAGGCAAGAAACTGAACCTGAAAAACAAACTAAGCACCACCTTAAAAAAGTGTAAGGGAGCCCTAATACCTAAATTCATAGAGTTGTGAGAGTAGAAAAATCAACACATTAAGTGTTTTTATTGCCCTCCATTAAAAATTATACTAGAGAGAGGTGTGTAGAATTAAAATATTATAAAGAGACATTCGGAGCAGTGCTCGTAGCATTACACAATACCTGTCAAATCCCATCAGTGAAAAGCTTCATAATTTCAAGGAATTTAATTGGCCTGTTGTTTGTTTTTCAGATGCAGTGGAAAGGTGTCTTGATTAATTTGTCTTTCTTGTTTCTCTTTTAACATTCTGCTTGCATTTGTGAGGACGGGAGCATAAACTATGACCTAGGGGCTCCTGATCTGATGTTTTGCAATCAAGAATGGAAGATAACAAAAAAAAGACATTTTAATCGTTTTTTATTAAGAAAATGGAATATATTCCAAATCTTTTTTTTCTTCTAACCTGGGGATACATATTATGTATGTGAAAAGATTGCTCTTTAGCAACATGCCAAAACAGCTGTTTATCTCAAACATAAGATACATGCACTAATTGCATTATTTCAAAGTAATAGATTAATATGCTTAACTTTTGTGGCTTAGATACAGTATCAGGATCCATTAATGCTTACTATAACAACTTAGAAATTCAACCAACTTGCTGAGATTGTGCCTAAAGTGAAGAACAGTGTTAACTCTTCATGTAGAATCAAGAACAGTATCAGAAAGAGATAGGACAAATTTAATCCTGGCTTAATGCTTATCTTCATTTATAACAGTGCTGAATTTGATAAATCCGTCTTGATTGGTAAGGTAATGTACCACTTAACCTTGTATAACTTCTCTCTCTGTAGCTTAGCATTCCTAAACTTTGATTAACTGAGTTGAAGTAAAAATACAGTTGTTTGAAGGATTCCTGGATGAATAAGAGATTAGTCGAGAAAGGAAAACTGCTCTGAAAGTGTACATGATAATTAATGATGGTTTAATAGGAAAATTATTACTCCTTTGAAACCTGAATCTTCTTATTGTGAATGCTGATGAGCAAGAAAGTAGCCCTGAATATACACAGAATGCATGGTTTTGGAATATTTGACAAGAGTCTTTTCAATAAAAATAATACTCAGCATTTCTTCATATCTTGTTTTTACTTTTATGTAAACATTTTGAAATACACTGAGCCTACTTCTATGTAGTAATGAAATACGTCATGTCATTTACTCAGAATTGCCTCTGTTTGAAGTGCTGCTCTTGCTCTTTAAGAAGACGTTTCTCTAATTCTTTTATGGTGTTTCTGAGACGTTCAAGTTCTTGGTTTTTCTCCTCCTGGAAATTCTGCAGCTTCTGTAGAAATGCAAGCAAAGGCTTCATGTTAAACATCACACATAATTACGTACCAACACAATACGCTGTTACTAATGAGAAATATTCTAGTGAGAATATTTTTCTAACTATTTTGTGTCACAAAACTACAAAGCTGACTTCCCCAAAATCCTATTTTTTGTGACATCCCAATGTCCCAAGCCTGCAAAACCAATAATGCACATATATAATTTAAAGCACAGTAATTTATGTTACTCCTGTCTGAAGTTTCCAGGTTAACAATTCTTTACTGAATCCACTTCATGTACGGGCTTTTGATGTTGAGCTTTATCAACATTGGTGCAGAGACAGGAAACCAGCTGTCTAGAGGTGGGAGGGAATGTAGAGAGGAAGATGGACATGAAACTGCACAAACCGCCAGCTCCCCAGTCTCCAAAGTTTTGTTGCAGAAGAGACACAGTAAAACCACAAGGAGCTGCTGTTTCAAACACTCTCTAACAGTGTTTACTATCTGCAGAATATAGACACTTAAAAATACGTACTCTTCTATAGATACTTTGTGGAAACGCAGAAGATTCCCAAAATGATCTTTTTCTACCCTGAACTGTTGCCAATTTAGCATTGAACTGAAAGAATCAAGAAAAAGCAAAACATTAAATATGGGGGAAAAAAAGTAAAATAATATAAATACATAATATAAATACAATTTTCATTTTTAAAAATTGGATTTTGTATATGAAAGCTTATCTACTATTTCTTATGAGGACAATGAAGCTAATTCAATTTATTTAAAAGAAGAATGCAATTACAAGTTATGTTTCTTTAAAAATACCTCAAAATATTGTAAAAAGTGAATAGTACAGATACAATACAAACTAAATACATTTAGACAAGCAAAATGATCACTAAAATATTTGAGGTGTCCACCATGCATGTCTGCAGGAGAAAATACAAAGGATGCTAAAAACCTCTGGAACCATCATCTTTCCCTCATGTCCTAAGGAAAACTCAGCCCAAACACTTCAACACCTTATTTATTTTTTGATATGCAAAAGTTTTGAAGTATCTCCTTAGTTGTTTCTGTAATGACAGTGGCTTAAAATCTGAGCCATGTAATATGTGTTGAATTCTGTGACTCAAATCACAGGATTAGAAGTCTTTAAGCTCCTGGAAGTTTATATAAAAAGATATCTTTCCAGCTTCCAGAAGTTAAAAAGAATAAAAATAAGCAAAACATTTTTTGTACAGCTCAAAAGCTAGCAAAATTGTCAAAATGTTTTAACACAAGAAAACTGCAAACTTCACTCTCCCCCTATAGCAGGTAGAACTCCATTCCTGAGCAGAAGCAACTCAGATACTATTATGGAAGGGAGCACATGCCACTGAGCTTTGTAAAGACAATCTTTTTTGAAACTTCCCAGATACCATCATATTACTTTGTTAAGTACTAATTACTATTTTTCACAACACAGTCTCTTCTAGGTTTACCCAAAGCCCAGCTGATCTTAACTCAGCTTTGTGATGTGTACCTCTATCTGCAGTTTAATGATTTCTTTCTGCTTCTCTTCGTTTTGAATTCTCAGCTGTCTAGTTATCTCTTGTGTTTCCAGGTCTTTTTTTTCTCTTTCTTCTTTATACTCCCTTTCTTTTGCTTCAACTAGTAACACAGTAACATCAAATATGATGATTACAGAAGACGTTTAGATTGAAAAATGACATGATTTCCCAAATACTACAAAATTTAATTAATAGCAGATCCACATTTCACAGGAAAACAATTTAATTCAAGCAAAGAACATAAGAACCCCCCCCATCCTATCTCATTAAGATGAAGTCTCTTTGAGGAAGTATCATATTTTACAAAGAGTTTGCCTTTTTTCAGCTACTTGGATGAGCTTCTTCAAGGCTGTTGTCAGTAATGGGAAAAATAAATATTGAAATGATTTTTCTCTTGTTGCAGTATTATTTATTTGTGAAAATGAGCATAGCTCATTTGCTCATATGCTTATACTTTCCTGAGCATAGCTGGAACACCCTAACAGCAGTCTAACTAATAGTTCAAAGCAATAGTTCAAATTAAAACAAACTTTAATTCCTTCAGATTTTTAGGTCCAAATTCCCATTGTCTGTTCTACCTGTTCGGGAATTTCTGCTCATCCTGTGTTGCTGTACCAATGCCTCATTGCCACTGTCTGCTCTTGAACTAAGATAAAATTCAGTTAAACACTACCCATCTTTAGCTTTATATTTCCACAATGAAGCAGAACTTGTACTTTTCCTAGATGACGGTGTCGCTCCTACAGGTTACAACATATTTTACCTAATGCCATAGCATTCAGTCCTCAGAGAGCTTACTTTTTTTCATCATATCGCAATTCAGCTTCATTACTTCTGATTTGTGGTCTTCCTCTTTGGTTTTAATTTCCTTCATAAGTTTCTCAATCTGACCTTTATATTCCTGTGAATGCAAAAGGCTTCATAAAAATATTGAGTTTTCTGTGCTCTCAGTCTTCTGTGAAGCACAGCGTTCATGTGAAATATTCAATACTCTGTAATTCAGTATGCGCTTTATCCTCCATCTAGTAAATTCAAAATGCCCAATTACTTCTTACGCAATCTGACTGAAGTCCACAAGCAAAAAATATAGCACACTTCATTGTACAGCATCTATCAGTTAATATAAAATCAGAAATTGTACTCTTTAGGAGAACAAGCAAATGGAGAAGTAACATTCCTTTCCCCAAGGATCTGATATAGTGCTGCTGTTACGGAAGTGATACAGTTTTGTATTTGTGGGTATTTGCCTGTAAGATTGTACAACAAAAAAAACATATTTAAAGTATGAATTTTCTCAGTATTGCTTATCCCAAGGATTTCACAACTTCCTACTGGCAGCAGTCCAAAAGTCAGTGATATCAGCAGCAGTGATGCTGATGGCACTGATACTCAAGTAGAAGAGTTTGAGCATGCCTATTGTTAAGTTTGCTCCAACTACTACTCCAGAATTATCAAGGAACTGGCAGTAGCTGGCAGTGTAGAAGTACTTACTCCAAAACTTTTGTCAGAGCCTTCTGGTAAGGTAGGTAGCCACTCACCAGAGCAATGCCCAGAAACACTCAGAAAGGCAGTTACTGATCAGTGGTAGTAGTGTATGTGGACATAGTCAAGTAAGTGCCTTCAGGACAACAGTAGGAAGTTTCGCCATGCCATACATCTGTATAATGCACAGAATCATAGTTTTCTCATGTCTGCCAGAAGGTGTTACTTATTTTATTCTCAAGCTGTCAAGATGACACCTCTATTTGTATAAAAATTTAATTTTAACTTATGGTTAGTACAAACACAGGGAAAGAAAATCAGCAGTGGGATTCCTAATCCTATAGAGGTGACAGATCTGCAATCTTAGCACAGAGAACTAACACAAATAGTGATTACCACTGCTGGTGTTATGTCCTTTCCAAAAATGAATGGCATAGATAAAAAGTAGAGGGATGACATATGGAATTTATTATGACGTACAGATAAAAAGTACAGACCTATTATCTTTGTAGCATTTACTCCAAAAGAAACTATAGTCAAAATTCAGACAGTTCTTGATTCTCTGGCAGTACAGCAGGCATTGTGAATATCAAAACCTTAGTTCCACATGAAAATATAGTCTTACTCAAGGGATTAAAGTTTTGAATTAATTTAGTTGAATTTGAAGCTAAATACAGGGAAAAAAAAAAAGTGCAATTTAGATTGGGCCAGAATTTTCAGCTCTTAGGAGTTCTGACCTCTTAGTCCGTCTAACACATTCTCATATTGATATTTCATGAGAACAACTCTTCTCTTTTTACACATGATGTTAGAAAAAGTGCAAAAATAATGGTATCAGTAACAAACTCAAGAATATAAAGGTATATAAACTGCTAACACGGACATGAACTAATATGCCTCTACATAAAGAACCATCACTTGTGACGTACCTGTTCACAAGTCTTTAATTTCTCTTCCAAGATGTGAATGGTACCCTTTAGTCTATCATTCTCATCTATGTAAATAAAAAATTATATGATACACTAGGAAGTACATTTTGACAGTATTATTAGCAGGAAAGCAGAATAAGTAAATCAATTTTTTGACACCTTTAAGAAACTTTTTGTGTAGACATATTAACCATCATTTACAGAACTACATAGTCTCCATTTTCTTCTTTAACAAGAAAATTAATAGTTTAACCAATTGATAAAAATTATGCATAACCATTTCAATACACTACAGCCCAACAGCTGAATGATAACATCTCACTTTTTGTAAAACTGCCTGTGCTATGCTGAAGTAAATTTAAAGTCCAGCTATTGATTAAAAACCCTGCACTGAGGCAGAACTTCTTTTACACGTGGATTCTAAGTAGGATAATAGCAACAGACATTCATTAAGCACCACAGACCACTAAAGTCTGCACAAGATTGATTTTAGGTAATTTTTCCCTCCTTTCTGCTTGACTGTCTGTGAGTTTCTCTCTCTGAAAAAGAACAGTAAATATAAAATTAAAAAAATTAAATGCCTGCTCATTCAAAATTACGGTACAATATACATGTAGAAACATTTTTGCTTTTACCTTTCACGTTACACAGTTTTTCAATGGTTTGTGTTAAACCCTTCACAACATTCTGTAGAGTAGCACATTCTAAAAGAAAGTAGAAATTCACTATTTTTAAATTACTTCAAAATTTTAATTTTATATTTTCTTTATAAAACATTTTATAATTGTCTTGATTAAATATTAGTCTAGGTCTTTCTCCTGACTACAGAAATAACTAAGATTATTATTACATGGTTACTGCTTAATTTTAGCTTTCCAAGAGATTAAAAACAATTATGTCAAGCAATATGAACACTTTCATAAAGCTATTACATTTTTGCTTCTAGCCAGAAAACAGAAATGTTACTGTTTTCTGGGCAATAATGAAGGTCTTCCATATCAGCATTCCAGCAACTTAATGTAATTAATGAAACTGAGGCTTACTTTCCTGCTAGTGTTTTTGCCAGGATTCTTTTTCACAAGACCAGCACCATCCACTTATTCCAGTTTCTCACTCCCTTTTTAGACCATACTAACTTCATCTTCTGGGTAAACATAAGCTTGGATAAATTCAGAATATGCTACTATAACCCCATTATCTCATTTCAAAGAAAATAATTATGTCTGTGTGCACATGCATGCAACTTAACAGTTTAAATACTTGTGTATTTAATTAATTTTATTTTTAATTGTATTTTTAGTACTTGAAAACCATACTGGCTGCCTGTAATAAAACATCTGGTTTTCATTAAATACTGGTTTCATCCCTTATGTTTGTTCCTTGTAAACTTATCAGTAAAGTAGCAAAACATTCAAAGACTGGGAAGACTGGGGACACTAAACTTGAGGTTGCTTACTTATTCTTGCTTTACTCTTAAAACCTTTTTATTTCCGGAGTACCACTGCATTTAAGGGACTATTAGTTTCCGCAACAGAAAGATTATGCTAAATAACAGCTGTTTGTCTCATGAAACCAAAGCTTTGTCGCAAATTGTAGATCATAAAGATTAGATTACAAATAATGGAGTCAGGAAGACGAACTGAGATCCCAGCTCAGAGGTCCAGTTTTTCACTCAATCTTTTTGACCCTTAGTCTATTCTTGCATCAATTTCACTTTTCATGCAGCAATGTTAGTCAGCTGTATTCTCCCGGTCCATGCATGCAAGAAGCCAGTAGAGGGAGCACGAACAGCACAAAAACATTGCCTGTCCTCAGATCCTGCACTGGAACGAAAAGCGTTTGTGGAAAACCCCTAATCGAAGGCGGAAGCGGCAGTTAGCATGCCCATTGACACTAAGTCAAGAAATACGCAGTCCTAAAGATGCTAAGTAGAGACACCTTAAGTACTCATAGACAATAATATGATTGGTTTCTTTTCATAAACTACAGTAGTTTTCAGTTCAGAATTGTAGCCTGCACCACGAGAGTCCATTCGGTCACCAGAGAAAAGGTTTAGGGGCAGAAGACAAAAATTCAGGCTTGTGTGTGTCTTAAGCCCATCTGTAATGATTCACTGTAAACAAAAACTGGAGTTCTGAATCTCACCTTTGTTTAACAAAGAACGCATCAAGCTGTCAGGGTCCAACTGGAGAAAAACCCCGGTGCTGCACCCTGTTTCAGTTCGTGATCCCAATAGTGAAATTAAGATGCAAACAAGGTCAAGTACCATAATCAGACTCTTTGTTTATTACACATTTCAAAAAGACAGTTATTGTAAAAAAGGAGGGAAATTACTGTAATAAAGGGGATAGCGATAGGACAGATTGGAAAAGAGGTAGAAAATGAAGTAAGAATTTGGGGTGCAGAGAGGGTAAGAGAGAGGTAGATAGTCACCACTACAGATTCAGCGGTGTCCTGGGGATCTGTTGTTGTCATCATTTGGGGTGGGAGTTCTTCAGGGTTCGTAGTCTTGTAGTATTAGACCAGAGCGTCCCCCAAGAGTCCGTCTGCAGTGGTTTGTCCTCGTGGAGGCATCCTTCTGGAGTCCCCTTGAAGGTACCCCGTGGATTGTGTCTCATGGAAGTGCCCTCATGGCGATGTCTCATGGAGGGTGTCCCTCAGGGTCTGTAGTAGTCATCAGCAAAAAGCATCCTCACGTAGGTGTCCTTCTGGAGTCATCCTCATGGCAGTGGCTCCCTGGTGATGTGTCTCTTGGTGATGTCCTTTTCCCCTCTTGTAAAGAGTTGGAGGGAGTACCTCTGCTCTTCATGTCACGTATTACACATTGTTGGTGGACCAGTTTCCCTGGTCTTGCAGCCAGCTCTTCAACTGCGATGTCTGCACACACATGTCTGCAGCAATTGGGATAATGGACAGCAGTTTCTCACACCAGTCCTCAAGGTAAGGGACTGAAGAGTCTTACCAGATCTTTCCCCTTCATCCCTCAGGAAACGGATGGTGAAGTCCCATTTCAATTCCTCACACCAATCCTTGAGGCAATGGAAGAATCTTAACTCCTCACACCCTTCTCCCAGGCAATGGATGGAAGAGTCTTATCTCAACTCCTCCCACCAATCCCTGAGACAATGGTCAGTGGAGTCCCATTTCAATTCCTCACACCAGTCCTTGAGGCAATGGAAAGAAGAATCTTATCTCAGCTTCTACCAATCTTTGAGACAATGGACACTGGAGTCTGATTTTGGATCAATCTCTCACAAAGGCTCATTTATGACCATTCAGAACATGTATTCATCATTCATGGCTTGACTTCGCGAACGAAGATTTGGGAAGGGCATTTACCCACGCTTACTGCAAGCGCGCTGATGACTAAGAAGGCCAATGTGGGATAGGCAAATCCGGCTACAAAAAGCACAGCAGAAGGTCTCCTTGGGTGGAACAGGTGGGACACGATTCTTCCTGCGTTGTCTTTTCTCCTCGAGACAGTTCTTCGTGAACATGTATACATTTGCCCAGTTGCTCATCTTTTCTTTTCTTTGGTTCAAGTATTTCACTCTCCCCCCTCCCTTGAGATTTAGAAATTTTCTTTCTTCCTTTGCATTTCCTTCAGAATTCTCAGTCCCCTCTTACCTTAAACAGTTCCAGAGAGAAACTTCCTGAAATCAGGGGTATCATGGGGTCCTCAGGTTCTCACACTTGTTGGAGACTTTCCCAGGCACTATTTCTGTTTCTCATAGTAACAAAGAGTTCCTAGGCAGCATAAAATTCAACCCAACCACCACTAGCAGTCGCAAACCCCTCAGGATAGATGAAACAGCTTTTCTTGCCATAATGCCCCTTCACTCTGCTCCTCTGCTGTAAGTAGCATGTTTATCTAAACCATTCATCACTATGTGGTCTCTCATGTTTTTTGCCTTAGCTGTTCTGTGAAGCGCTTTGTGGTTTACTGATAAACCTTATATTCTAAAAAGAAGCGGTTTACCTATCCCGCAAATTCACACAACTGGAGAATAGCTGTTGCCAGAGTAAGAATGGAAGTATCAGTGCTCCATGTGGCCCCTTATAGCTTCTCCAGTTCTGCAGAGGATCCTTTTATAACTGCATCAATAATAGTGTTTTTTAATCCCACGGTGCTTTGGCTTTCAGAAAAGTTTTACAAGGAATCGCAGTGGTCTGATTCTGAATACACAGTATGCTATTACCCCTTGTGAAGGGTCAATGTTGCAGGTGAATTTGATGAAGGTGCAAAGTCCATTTCTATCCATTTCAAAATGAAAAAAACCTCCACAAATCCAAAATGTTTTATAAATATGTACTATATAATCACTACACCAACCATAATGTCCTTGTGAAATACTTCTAACATTATGGTCACTGCTGATCTCCCGTAAAATGGGAACTGTTTATCTCAAGATTCCACTGACAGCATCTGCTGCAGATTATGGCAATTTCCTGCGCAAAATGTTTTGTGAATATCTGCTTTCTCATCACCATTCATAAATGCAATTAAAAAATACAAACTCGTAAACACTTCATGACACGATACTTGAAATGTTTGCCCTATTGGTAAGCACATTAACCTAATAGAACAGCCACAATAACTGTCTAATTTCTAAATGCATTCTGTCCCCTTTGGTGCCTCTTACTTACCTTTTACTTTCTGAAGTAAAAGGGGATACCTCCTGGATGATCTATCTGTTTCAAGTTCCTGCTTTTCACTTTGTTTTGTTACTGCTACTAACAGCTCTGCAATCTCTCTTCCTCATTGACCAGAATCCTTGCATTGCAATAATTCTGCCTCCTGTCTACATCTGTACTAATTTTACAACCACTGTGACTTCAATATTATTGAGATTTTTTTCTTGACTATCCCTGCTACTAAAACTTTAATTAATTTTTCATGCCGATTGCTCTGATGCTTCTCTCTTGGACTTTGGCCATTCAGATTTTTTTTCAAATCATGTGTTTCAAAACAGATCCAGAGGTCATTTTCTTCAGTTGTATCTGCGTAACTAACTCCTCAAATCATTTCACTCTTACCTCAACAAAGTGAGGCACTACTATTTACAATGCTGGAATCTCTCTCCTGACTTTACAGCATTTTCAATCCATCCTACTTGCACAATCCTTATTTCAGTCAGCACAGCTGCTCTGATTTCCTGAGTTGTCGCCTTCACTTTTCTGCTATCTTTATCTTTAAACCCATAGAGTTTCTGTTGAAAAAAAAGATTTGTTGTCCACCTTTTCCTTCCCCCTTTTTAAAAATCTATATTGTATAATCTCCCTCCTCTCTGTTTTTGTCAATAATGAAGCCTCTTGATCTGTTTCTGAATGACTGTCCTGCATTGTCTTTTGTCCTTAATAGAGAAACAAATGCCTCTAATGAATCAAACTGAAGTTCAACCCCGTTCACTATCCCACTTCACAATACCCAGTAGAAGATACTTCAGAAAAGAAGGAAAAAACCTGGATAAACATTACCCTTAATCTATTCTGACAGTTTCACAAAAAATGAGGGAGACCTGAGTGAGAGGTACTGCCATTATGTTTAACAAATATGTTAAGTTTTGATAAATAATTTTGTAAAATCTTTTTGGACTAATCTATTCTTCTGTTATCCACAATCTCCTGTAGAATTGATTTAACAAATTTATTTTGCAATATATGGAAAAGTTCCTCTTTTTGTTTGCTTTAAATCAATGAACAAGTTATCTTATTAAACAGTGACTATTCATTTCTTAGTCACTTTATGTTGATAATTTTATAGCCGTAAGTCATATCAGCTTTACTCTTTCTCCTCAGGCTGAAAAGGACCCAGTCAATTTAAGTCTTTCTTCAATGATGTTCCCAAATTGTGATCAAACCTGTGAGGACCCCAAGTGCACTCCACCCCCCCCACCTTCTGGGTGTTCTGCTGGGCTCAAGGTCAACTTAGAGTATCTCTGGTGACCTTGAACAAAGCTTTTTGAACAAAGCTGTCAGAAGACTCAGAAGGGGCTGTCCCTCCTTCCCCTGGGACCTACTTTTAAGCTGAGGCTTTTGCCTTTGGCCTACCTTGATCTATGGCACAGCTGTGCTGCAGCGATCTAGATACCATGTAGATCTAGAGCCTCCTCATGACCTAGGGAGTGACTTCCTGGCTTGATTTCAAACTTGTCTCATTACAGACAGTGTCTGGCCCGTTACTATTTCTGAAGCTGATCCTGCCTCAGCCTCCTGTCTTGACCTTGGACCTGTTCCATCACTACATACGTGTTTGGTAATGTGCACTTTTGGCTGATCCTGACAGCCCTCACTTGGGCCAAGCCTGCGTGGGTACAGTGGGAGTGAATCTCGGCTGGTGAAGTTCCCGCTTCTGTGGGCTTTGTTACATGATTGGTTCCTGGTAGCCCATCCCCTGCTCCTCCTTGACAATAGCAAACCTTGCCACCTTCTCTATTATCTTTTCTAGTTCTGGCAAGTCCATTTTGAAACATCCACACCAGAACTTCACATGAAAATCACAGATTTTAAAAGGACATTACATGCATTTCTCTACTTCTCCCGTAAGCTTGCCTATCACTGTTTTTGCTTCTTTGACCACTGACATTTTCAGAGAACTACCTAGAAACACACCAATATGTCCTCCCTGAAAAGTAGCCAACTAGGGCCTACCACTCTGCACAAAATACCTCCCATATGCATTGTTACTGGTTTTCCTATCCCCTTTTTACACTCATTATTGTGTACCGGATTCTTGGTGTAACGGAATTGACTGGCATCATGAGCAAACTTCACTTACTTACTCAATAGGTTTTCCAATTAATTTCTGATTATGCTAAATTATTTAAGTCCCATTACATCTCTAAGTGAAACCAACTAGCAACCTCACTCTAGCATGAAACTAAGTTTTATTCTTAAACTTGTAAGTTTTATTCTGTTTTATTGTTTCTTAACACTTAACAAGTTGATTTGTCAGAGACCAAAGTTCTACAAAAAGATGATTCTTTCAGCAACTCTATAGAGAATAATAAGCAATCACAAATGTATGCTAAGTACTAGATACTATTTATCTTTTCAAATACTAATCTGAAAAGATATACTTCTAGAATAACAGTAATAAAAATCCTCTGTCATTTGGCAGGATTATACATCATTTTTGTTATGATGTATAGGCTTATAATTTCCACCTATGAAACAATAAATGCCATATGCTTATTTCATTATGAACAGTATGAATTCTCTTAATATTAATACATACTGTTACTACCATTCATTACTATTTAGCACCATAATGACATCTGGTATACAAAGCAAAATAGAGCCCCAACTGATCGCATTAAAGCTGACAGTAACACAGTGCAGCCTGTGGAATAAACTTGTAACAGTGATATCAGCTTAACTGAAATCAGCCTTACATGACTATATACAATTCCTTACACTTCATAACTGGAAATAAGATAAACTCTTGACAGTGACATTAAACGCACAAAATGGGCTGTCACATTGTTTAATCTGATCTCTTCAGAGATTAAATCTCACACAGATAAAAAGTATAATCACTTGGGCCAGTTTTTTAGTCCTGTAGAGACTAAACATTTGTATAGGCAGAAGACACTGAAATTCCACCAACACCCAATGTCCTTACATAACCAATTTATGTGAATGGAATTCAGACAGAAATACTAAACCTTCAATATACCAGTCAACATGGTGCAAGGAAAATATATTCCCAGGCAATGTGGACTATTGGATTGTCCCTAAGCAAACCAAATCACAAACGCTACTAAGAAACATAATTCTTTATGTTACCTCAGAGCAACAGCCCCACCAGCCTGACATGCCATCTCCAATTGCAGGCAATCTTTAACATTTCAGAGGGAAGCAAATTATGCATCCAAGAATGCACCTGACTCATTTCTCACTGGGCAAAACATTTCTGGTGACCAGGTGAAACACAGCATTTGCCATCTTGATACCATTAGAACAGCTCAGCTGGAGGCACGATAGCGTCAGTCCTGACCTTATTTTTCCCAAATGAGAGTGACAGAGCACTGGAACAGGTTGCCCAGGGGGGTTGTGGAGTCTCCCACATTGGAGATATTCAAGGCCCGCCTGGACAAGTTCCTGTGTGATGTACTCTAGGTTACCCTGCTCTTGCTGGGGGGTTGGACCAGATGATCTCTTGAGGTCCCTTCCAACCTTTGGGATTCTGTGACTCTGTATTGTTCTACACAGACATTTGAGCTGCTTGTGGATTAATCCAATTCACAGACTAGCATTTGAAGTAAAACTGCTGATGATAGTTTGCTTAAAAATACTGCCTTTGTAAATTGTGGAAGTTCACTAGAAGCTCAAGAGGCCTGCATGAATGGGAAAGGCAAAAAATCAAAAGAAAAAAGATGAAAAAATAATGCAGAAGGAAAGTTTTTACTGCATAGGTACTGCATGCACTCAAAAATCTCTTTAAGTGGATGGATATTACATCATGTGGAAACTAGTAACTTTAATGCAGTTTTCAAGGCATGTTTGTGGGTTATCTGGTTTATGCAAACAACATGGATTCTATTACATGAACCAGGATTAAGTATTACTGGTTTTCACACAGTATCTTAGATCTTTGGTGGTTTTTTTCGTGTTTTATATAGCTGAAAATAATGGAATTTCCTAAATAGATGCAAAAAACATACAGTTTTTTAAAAAATAACTTACCTTCTCTTACTGATTCTTCCTTTGACTGGCTTAATGTTAACAATCTGTTACATTTTTCCAGCTTAAAAACCAGTAGGTTATTTACATCATTAACTTCTGTTATTTTCTAGAAAATTAGAAAAAAAAATATACTACTTATACAAATGATACAATACCTTTAAAGTTTTAAATCTTGAGTTTTACATTAATACAAAATCTAACAATTTTGCAACAGTCACAAACTGTTTTGCAGTCACAAACCCATTTCACTGGCCATTCTGGAAATTCTGTTATAGAGAAGAATGATGCTTGACTTCAGAACCTGTGCTAGTAAGAGTTTACTCTTTAGAACTGAGAATGCCAACTCACATCACTAGTTATAAATTGAGTTATTCTCAATTTGGTAGTCCTCAGGCTGGATCAGTCCTTGGCAAGGTTCTTTTTACTGCTTTGCGTATGAGGCTGTCAGTGCTTTAACTGAGCATCAACATAAGTAATGGGTGTGAATAGGAACTGGTATATTTTTTCGATGAGAAATGCAGAATTTATTTCAGATAGCCATTTTATATTACACCTTGTCACAGTATCACACAGTATATTAGAGATTGGAAGGGACCTCAAAAGATCATCTAGTCCAATCCCCCTGCCGGAGCAGGAACACCTAGATAAGGTTACACAGGAATGTGTCCAGGCGGGTTTTGAATGTCTCCAAACAAGGAGATTCCACAACCTCCCTGGGCAGCCTGTTCCAGTGTTCCGTCACCCTCACTGAGAAGAAGTTTCTTCTCAGGTTTAAGTGGAACCTCTTGTGCTCCAATTTGTACCCATTACCCCTTGTCCTTTCATTGTTTGCCACTGAGAAGAGCCTGGCTCCATCCTCGTGACACTCCCCCTTTATATATTTATATACACTAATAAGGTCACCCCTCAATCTCCTCTTCTCCAAACTATAGAGACCTAGCTCCCTCAGTCTTTCCTCATAAGGGAGATGCTCCACTCCCTTAATCATCTTAGTTGCCCTGCGCTGGACTCTCTCCAGCAGGTCCCTGTCCTTCTTAAACTGAGGGGCCCAGAACTGGACACAATATTCCAGATGAGATCTCACCAGGGCAGAGTAGAGGGGAAGGGTTATCTCTAGCATGGATTTACTGATCAGGAAATCAGCAGAGAGCTGGCCAGCATGGGTCTAACAAGAAATACAGTACTGATTTTCCTCAGTGGGTCAATCTTTTTCAGAACTGGCATGTATATAAAATACAGATAGCTCAATGCATAGGGAATAAATAAAACAGATATTCCTGCTACGGCAGTGACATTTTTCAAGAACAAAGAATAACTTCTGACAGAGTAGTCCAGCTGTTATCTGTTATGTCCAATAACAATACTGTTATCTCCAATAGCAGCTACTGAGACAAGGGGACACTTCCATGTTTTTCATGAGAAGCCTGAATTGGCCTCTGCACATTACAATTCTAGCACAGAAACAAAGGCTTCTCTGACACCACAGAAGTCATTCATAACTGAAATACAGTCAACACAAACACTCTGAAGACAGTATTACAGGACGTTGTGGTAAAAGAATAAGCTGATACCACTTAGAAGTAATTTCACTCAAGAAGCTTTTTAGAGTGCCACAGAATATTTATAGTTAGCAGTTTCAACATTTTTTGCCTTCTATGCTTACCTTTTCTATCTCTGAGATGTTATCTAAAAGTTTATCAAGGTTGACCACACTGGTTCGCTTCATAGGTTCTTCAAGTCTGTGACTCATTTTTTTCCCTCAACCAGTGATCACTGTATACGTGAAAAAAAGATCTGTGAATTTATACACTTCTTATTCACATGCCGTCAAAAGATTTCATGTGTACAAATGTGATCAGAATAACAATTTTTTAAAATCTAAAACTTTCAAACATAAAACTTTTAACATTTTTTTAAAAATAAGATTTTTGCATGTGTAGCTAAACTTGAACCTAAGATCTTGCATTTCTAGAAAATATAATGAATTGTAAAAAAGTGCAAGGAACATCTACCAAACTGTAAGATGATACAGATGAACTGGGAATTCTTTTCTGCAATTAAATATAAACCTGAATCCAATTCCATCGTGGACGCAGTTTTACATAAACATGTCAGTGGTGTGCACATAGGATGCTTTTAAAACATGTGACTAATTTCTCTTTAGATACCCTGTTAAAACAGATTTGTCTTCCTGCCCTCACTTTAAATGAACAAAAAACAATTACTTGCTCTCTACTGTGCCTAATTTGTTGGCAACAGATGAAAGTTTGTTAAGTTTGATCAACTTCAAAAATATTGCTTAAGCAATAAGATTTCACCAGGCACACATTAATGCAGGATCTTTTGTCTGTGTAGATTCTTTAATACTTAACTACTCATGTTTCAAATTACTTACACGTTTTCTTAGAAACAGTTTGCATTAATGCCAGGGATGAGACACTGCAGCACAAAAACCTTATGAGTAAATAGACAAAATTTTTGAAAAGCACCCATATCTTCCAGATAAATCCCTATTTTTAGCAGACATTCTACTTACAGAATCTTCAACATGTATTTGTAAGATGGATCTGAAAGACACAGTATGAATCCTTCTAAGAATACTGAAACTATGTCTGAGCATCAGGCTCCATGAAGCAAAAAAAAAACAAAACAATGCCAGGCAAACCATGTATTCCAGATAAAATCATCACTTTTATGTGTTAATGTATGAACTGCCTTTTTACAAGTAAGAAAAAACAGCAGTGAGAGATGGAGCAGAAGTTAGAAAGCGTGCACTACCCAGAAACTGAAAGGGTTTCCAGGCAGAAATACTTACGTAAAGTTAGGAGGATCTGTAAATGAACAATTACTAAGCAGGAACCAAAATTACATAATTGAATCATTTTCTTAGTCATTCAATATTTGTAAGTCTTCATGTGTACATAACTTTTTCACCAAAGCAGTAATATGAAGATATCAGTTCTGTGTGTTTAACACTATTTTTTCTTTTGTATCCACTGTTTCCCCAGAGTGATTAAAACTAATTCATTAAATAAAGCTATCTTTTTTAAAATCAATATTATTTTAGAATGTGTGTAACATTCAAGAACTCACATTTCTAAGCTAAATTAGGGAGATTTTTACAAAGTTAGCAATCTTACTGACTTCTCTTATTACTATATAATCACTTGTTAAAGTGTATTTTAAAATACTCAGTACATTCAATTCTGCAAAACAATTACATATCTTAATATTCTATGAATTGATAAATTATCTAATCTATTCTTCACACTATAAAGGCCAAGCCCTAACCTTTCCTGGTTAGGGTCAGTATGTGATCTGTCAATCACCATTCCTTTTTGTCATGCTTTTTTACCCTTTAAATTTTGACAGAGGATGGCAGCTGCCATGTTGCATGCTGTTTTACTATTTCCTAGTTCCATGACATCACTTGTTTCCTCTGAAGATAGAACTTTAAGCAACAGAGCCAATTGTTGAAAACTCCTGTTGAACTGTAACACTAAATCATGGAATCATACAATGGTTTGAACTGAAAAGGACCTTAAGATTATCTAGTTCCAATCCCCCTGCCACAGACAGGGACACCTTCCACCAGACCAAGTGGTCCCAAGCCCCATCCAACCTGGCCTTCAACACTTCCAGGGATGGAACATCCATCCACAGCTTCTCTGAACAACCTGTTCCAGCGCCTCACCACCCTTACAGTAAAGAGCTTCTTCTTATATCTAACCTAAATCTCCCCTGTTTAAGTTTGAACCCATTACCCTTTGTCTTACCACTACAGTCCCTGATGGAGAGCCCAATATGTTGTCCTATTAATGCCTTTATTAATTTATTAATGTCCTGTTAATGTCCTATATTGAATATATTCATCTTCCAGCAGGAAATTGAATCACTTTTGTGTATGTAATTACTGTGTATATTTTTGAAAATTTTTCTAAACCTCCCACCCCTGCTTTGAACTATAGTATCTCTCTAGGGGGAAAATCAAGGATTTAAAATGTACTTTTGTCTGTCATAAAATGGACAATTTTACTTAATCTTTCTTTAACCACTTGCTGCCCATGCTCTCCAAGTAACCTCTCTTAAGTAGTGTAGCTGGTTACCTGATTTTGGAATTTAAGGTTTCATTTTTACGTCATGTAACAGTGAAACCTGTATTTATAAAAAGAATGTTAGTAAACACTAATTTTTAACTGCATATCTCAATCAACTATCTTAATTACTCAATAACAGGCACTCTAGTAGTCTTTGGACTCTACCCTTAAGACAGTTATCTGTGTTGATTATAACATCGTTTCAACTACTCTTCAAAGACCCTGGGCACACTTAAAATATCATTTACAGCTCAAAGTTACTGCCACCCAAGTGGCACCTACTTGTGGGCCCCACCCATCGACTCATCCGGTTCCCCAGATAGCTCCAACAGTGGCACCACTGCAAACCCCACCGCCGGCGCCCACGAAGCCCTGGCGACCTCCTTTCCCTCTCCCACTTCTGAAATCAGCCTACAGACAGTGCAGTGCGCTGGGTAGACGTAACACCTTTGCACAGCCTCAGAAGCACCACGGGGCCAAAGAACCACCTGTTTCTCCTCAGTGCGTTGGTAAAACCCGCAGACAAAACACGACACCTCCTTACAAACCACCTCAACACACCCACCGGAAGGCGGGAAATCAGCTCAATGGAGCGTACCACCACCGACCGTGGCGGGGGGGGTAGAGGGGTCTCTCCCCCTCCGCGCCCATCCTCTTGTGGGCTCGACCGCGCGTCTGCTCTGGGACTTTGTTTGAGGCCCTCGAGGAGAGAGTGCCTGAGGGCTGAGCTGAGGGGAATCGAGGCGGTGCGGGTGGCGCGGTCCTCGGGGCGGCGTGACAGGTGAGTTATGGGAGTGCGCCCCGATGCTGCCCTGACACAGCCCCAAGGGCAGTGCAGCTGCTCCCTGCCTCACCAAAATGCCCACACAAACCTCTACGCCAGCAGAGCACCTGTTGACGCCCTGTTTTCACTCCTCTGTGTAGTACGTGAATTGTTTTATAAATGGCTCCTCACATTGACATTAACCTCAGCTCAGGGGGGACTTCGTGTGTGAGTGAATGTTCCTTTGAACAGCAGCAAATAAGCACTGGATGGAAGCCCTTCTCTGAGTGGTAGATCAATCAATCGATCGATTCCTTTTATCTCAGGTTTCTCAGTATTTATACTGTGCATGTATCTATGGCGACCAAGCTGTGATACTCCCTGGTCTATCACTCCTTTTCCTGAGGGAAATTACCACAAAAGGCTTCTGAGAAAAGTTTCCAAGACATAGAATCATAGATTCAGTTAGGTTGGAAAAGATCTTTAAGATCAAGTCAACCCTTAACCCAGCAATCCTCCAAATCTGAAGTACTGAAGATGTACGGAGCTGGGTTTCTTTATTCCTTTCCTTTCTAAATGTTCCATTTTCTGAAGGCAAGAAGACAGATCAGCTTTGTGAGGATTATGCTGTTTATGGAGGGAAGAACCATGTCCTGGACCCTGTGCTCTCTCCAGGCTACCATGTTGCTTTGTCTGTACCAGGGCAATGGGCTGGGGGCAGGGAACAGCAGGACCCAGGTCTCACCAGCCCACAGACAGCAACCAAAGCGGCAAGAAGCGATTCTGAATCCCAAGGTTGTGGAGCTGGAGGTCAATACCACAGGCAGGATGCTGTCTGCTTGTGATGGGCACTGTATGCAGATGCTGCTGGTGGTAATGGATGGTTATGCTGCTGAGGATTTTATTGTTCTTCTTAAATATGAAAAGGAGCAAGTTAATGCCATTATTTTCTGTAACTGAAATTTAGTAGCAGGTCCTGCTAAGGTTACTCTGTCCTAAAACACTTAGTATTGTGCTAGGATATCTTTTTTTTTTTTTTTTTTTTTTTTAATTATTAAATAGACGTGAAAGACTGGTAGTTACCCACTGATTGCTGAGTAGCATACCCATGAAATCAGATGCATTCAAGCCATGTGGTCCCACAGGAAAACGGGGGAATCCCACTTCAGCTCTTCGCACCCTTCTCCCAGGCAATGGATACTGGAGTCTTATATCAACCCTTTCCACCCATCTCTGAGGCAGTGGATTGGTGAAATTTAATCTTAGCTTCTCATACCACTCTTTGAGACAATGGACAGTGGAGTATGATTTCAGATCAGTCTCTCACTTTTTATTGTCATTATGAGCATCCCTGTGTGAGAAACTTCTGTGCCAGAGACCTATGAGATGGCAGTCCCAGCCATGTTTCCTGTTCAGTTTCTCACAAACAGCATCATCTGTGTACATTAAAAATGTTGTGGTTAGTCACAGGCTTGAGGAATTTTTTACTGACCTTCATGTTATTATTACATTTTTATGGTCTTTAATACCCTTCCTTACAACCCCAGTCATGCCAGGAGAATGTGGCAGCTTCATTTACAGAGTTAAAGTTTGCCAAGATCCAACTCAGTTTACAAAATGATTGTTTTCTCTTACTCTGAAGAGCACATGGAAACAAGACTGTAGGTTTTAATCTGCTCTAGACTGCTAGAGCACTCATCACCATGTTTAAAACCCTGTAGTGTCAGGCTGCAGAGTAGCTTGGTAAAACAGGGATAAATTGTAGTATTATACGTCCTGGGCACCAGCACGCTGTTTGCTATGTTGTATTCCTCATGCTAAAAAGATTTATTCTTCTGGTTTAAGAGGTGAAAGTTGTCTGTCAGGAAGGATATTTGGTACAGAAGCACCCATTTCTGTTTCATTGTCCTAAATGTTCTATATTTGTCCAAAGAATGAAAAGAAATATGCACAAATACGTAGAAATCCATCTTTAGTAAGCAGGTTAATATACTGGAACACATTTAAGTATAGATATTTAAAT